GAAAGACAGAAACATTGATGTGAGAGAAACACAGCAATTGGTTGCCTCTTGCATGGGCCCTGACCAGGGCCTGGGCCAGGGAGGAGCCTGCAACCAAGATAGATGTCCTTGACTGGAATCGAACCCAGGACCCTTTGGTCGGCAGGCTAACGCTCTATCCACTAAGCCAAACCAGCTAGGGCAATTGTAGGTCTTTCTGACTTTTCTCTTCAACTCCAGATTCTGACATTTTAGAAGTAAATTTAACCCCAAATATGTTGGGGGTTTTTGTTTGTTTGTTTGTTTGTTTTGTTTCTTTTAACATTCCTTTATACCTAGTACTTAGAAAGGAAAATCTCTTACTGAAAAAAAAATCCAATAACTTGGAGTACTTTCTTTAGGTGGAAGAGAGCTGTAGGATCAAGTCTTCTGAAATATTCCCCAGGTAAATTCCACCCTACCCAAACACCTGCTACTCATCTTTCATTGAGGTTGCCTAACTTTCTACCACTCCTGTTCCCATGGACAAAAACAACAACAAAGATCGTCCTGAGCAAGCCCAGACTCTGCTTTTGTTACTTCTCCGCATATTCTCCCTACAGTGCCCTCGTTTCATGACTCACACGTGGGCTCATGTAAACATGTGCTGTTTTTATTGCTCTATTTATTTTAACTTTCTCCTCCATTCAGGCCAGAACAAAGCCCGCCCCCTGAGTGATGTGGATCATAAGTCCAGGTCTTCTCCCTCTCATTCTGGGCAAGGAGAGGAAATTTTACCTCCTCCTCTACTGTACACAAATCTAGTGAGAGGAAAATGTCATTGCTTGTTGCTAAAAGAGCAGTGACATTCAGCAATGAAAGACAGACTCTTACTCCCCAATCAGGTATGAACTAACTTCTTAGTGGACTTCAAGTCCTTGCTATTTCCCACTGTCCTAGTGTCCCCACCCAGTCACAGGGTTCCCTTTAGGATTCAGTCTCTCCCTCTGGCTCCCCAAACTCATAATCCTCCTGCCTTTCCTTCCCCTCCATCTGGCAAAACTCTGCTTTGGGTCTTTTATCCATGTGAAGATGAACATTACTAACAAGAACCTTAGCTTTGTCATTTCCCAGTAATATTTGCAATAAACAAGCCTCCAGATCATCCTTCAGCTTGGAGGAGAATCTGAACTCTGTGGTTTCAGGAAAGTCATGAGTAAGGAAAGAGTAGCATCTGGGGAAACAGAGAGGGTGGGGCTGAGGTCTTCCAGATATCCTACACACCTGATTCCACTGTCCAACTTTGAGTCTTTGAAAAACTATGGCTCTCTTACATCGATCTTTCTCCCTCTCTCTTCTCTCTTTCCCTCCTCTTCTTCCCTTCCACTCTCTCTAAAATTAATGGGGGGGGGGGGCGGAATCCTCAAGTGAGGATTAACAAAACAAAACAAAACATGCAATCACTGACTATATTTAGTCAGGGGCACTGACCTCCTTCCCCTTAGATTGTCAAATGAAAAACTGACAACAGCCAGTACAACAATAGCTGTCCAGTGTGAATGAATCAAAATTATACCTTTTTTTTTTCCAGATTGGCAAAAAAAAATTTTTGGTGTGCCGCAGAATTTTAGTAACTAGTTTATGTGTGCCATGAGATGGAAAAAGGTTGAAAATTGCTGACTTACAAATGTAGAACCTAAATATAGTGCATATTTTAATAATAAGTTGTAGCAGATGGTTTACCAATAATAACCAACTCTCTCTCTTCTCACCTTTTCATAATAAGAAACAATGAATACACAATCTTTAAAATTGCTTTTCATCAACAAGAGGGAACAGAATCAAAGGGGAAAATCATTGCTTTTTATGGACTGACTCTAGATTTCATGAGAGTAAAGTGAGATGTGACAATATAAAGCACCTTTCATATGTCCGAGCTGGCTACTGAAAAGGCTGGAAAACAATATAGGGAACTGTAGGAACTGGCAAGAAAGAAAAATTTTTTAATCTCAATTCTTTAAATTGCTAGCAGTATGTGACCAAGGTCTCACAAGGCGTCCACTTTCGGTGCAATGAATGTTTCTATGGCTCAGGTGTCTGGGCATGACTTAGCTCAGTGCCTCTGTCTCAGGGTCTCTCAACAGGCCTGCAGGCAAGGTGTCCATCAGGGACATGCAAGCAAGAAATTTAATTTTAGAGGGGAAAGCAATGGCCAGGCAATTAACTTGTGCATTTTTAAAAGCTAAACTGTATAGAGAAAAAGTAAATAATATTTGTAAATGAGTAATTTATCTCATTTATGAAATTGAAAAGATCATTAGGACTATTTTAAATGGATTTTCAGTACAGGGTTGATTGTAAATAAGTAACGCCCATAAGAGAGCAGAGGCATCGATTTTTCTGAGATGATTGTTATTCAAAATCATTTCAACTTGGCTTTAGAGTGCAGGGAAGGCAGCATGTCCATAGGAGCCTAACGCCTCATCCTCTTTTAACAGCATTCCCGTGTTAAAAACCTCACTCACAGGATAAAGAGCAAGTACTCGGCCTATCCACTAGGCCCTATAGTGTTTGGCCTCACTCTAACCATCCCCTCCTCCTCATTTTCTCATACTCCCGGACTCCCTCACTAGATCTCTGTGCTCCCTTACCTGCCCCCCTGGACCACCTACCAAGCTCCTTCCCACCTCTAACCTTTGCATAAGCACTAGTTGAGCCCTCTGTCTTGGCCACTCTCCCCACCTGACTACCCATTGTTCTGTTAGACTCAATCATCCCTTGGATCTTATCTCAAACATCTCTTCCTCAGAGATATGCTCACACTGGATCAGGTTTCCCATAGCCTCTTATGCTCAGCTCTTTTCAATAATGTAATTGATAATTATATATATGTATATATTATTTAATTGCTACCTGTCTCCCCAACTGGACCAAGTTCCCTAAGCAGAGGGTCTCTTCCTGTCTGAGCACATTCTCCCACCTTCAAAATTAGCCTGGAACTTGACCCCTGAAGAATGTACTCTCATGTACTGATCAGCTACCTGGCACCACCCCAGACCCTATCTAGATAATGAAGAGGGAGCAAGTATGGGTCGCCATGAATAAGATTTTTTTAAAAATTAGGTTGAGTTTGACATATACAGTTGTCTAGTAAGAAAGCCTAAAAGCTCAAACAGTGATAACCTATAATTTTCTGTGGAAAATCCCAGTTGCTTATATAATTTCGCTCACTGAAATGATCACTCCTTCTGTCGCTCATTTCCTTCCAGACCTAACAGCATGGGTCATTGCTCTTTCTCTGCAACCAGAGCTAGGAGTTAAAAAAAAAAAAATCATTGGCAGTCACTTCTCACCGAGGTCCACCTACCAGGACAAGGTCTTTACATCTACTTAGTTCCCACTCTGGCTTTGAGGGAAGATGCGAGGCTGACTTTTCTTTTCATAGGAAAGTAAAACAACTCCAGTTGTTTTATCTGCTCATTTGAATTATCCTGACCATTATTACAGAGAATGACGACCTGGTAACACAAAGACTTACCATCTGAAGTTTTTTGTGGAAATTATCCTTATCAGAAAGTGTTACTCATCAAAGCCAAGCTACTGAAAGTCGACAGCAGTGAACCATATGCTATTTAAGCTGGGACTCTGAGTGACCCATATTTTTTTTTAAGTTGGTGACTTGACATTCATTCCTTCACTCATTCACTCAGCAAGTATTGACTGACTACCATCTCTGTGCCAGGCACTAGGATCATGAAGGTCTCCCCAAAGTCTGAGACATTGGAGCAAAAAACATCTTGCCTGGCTCAAAGGAGAATCAGAGAAAAAAGAGACAGCTTCAGGTCAGAAGATAGAAATGATCTTCAAAGAAAGTTAACTGTGATTTGAATAGTAAATGTTATCAAAATGGACTTAGATGAGGTGGCACCATTAATCTCAGGAGTAAGCGAAACAACACAATGTTCAGCTTGTTCCCCACAGACACAACAATGTCAACGAAAGTCTGCAAAACCTTCCCCAGGATCATTTTCTTTCTAGAAGATTAACATGTGATTATAACTGTCCTATATGGGGAAGTGGGGGGAAGAAACAAAACCACAAATGACTACTCAAGGGTACACGTTGTGCTTCCCATTTGTTTCAGAGGTCCCCAAGACCACCCACATGCTCAGGGACTCAATAGAGTGACTAACAGGACTCAACATACATTGTATCCACAGCTATGGCTCATAGCAATGAAAGGATATGCAACGGGATCAGCAAGGAAAGAGAGACACTGGTGACGTCTGACGAAATCCATTTACAGGCTGTCTATGCTCTCTCCCTCCCATGAGTAGACATGGCGTATGCTCCCTTCTCTACCAGCAAAAAGTGATACATGTGCAATGTTTCTGCCCAGGACAGTCCATTAGAGACTCCACACCAAGATTCTTATTGGAACTGGTTATGTGGCCATCCTCTGCCTGGCAAGGAGCAAAATTTCAGGCTCCCAGAATAAAGCAGGTGTTCACCATTAATTACAGTGTTTGCATAATCTAGGCATAGTGAATCATCTTTATCCACCAGAGAATGGAGAGAACATTCCACAACCCAGGATCCCAGGCGCCAGCCAAAAGCCAAACTTGCACCAGGCCCTTCTAGAGACAGCAGCCTCAGAGTCGCTGTATTAACTCTTCTGCACGCAATTCTTTCCATCTTCTTTCAGAACATGTTGTAGAGAACAGAAAATGTTTCTCTCTCTCTCTCTGTATACATGGCTAAAGAAAGTGTGGTCAGCTTCAATTTTTAGATTGTTATCGCTAGAGTTATTACTAGGAATTATCATTTTTGGATGAATGTTACATTAATAACATTGTTGCTGTCTAGTGATAATGATTATAGTGGCAATATTATTAATTTCTCTGATACATTGTGTATAATATCTCAATATAATATTCATATGAACCCGTTCCATGATCATGTTAAAATCACGACAACCTCAGCAGATTCTGTGTCTGGCTCCTTATCATAGTTTTCTTCTAATCTGTTGCCTTCTTTAACAGTTCGGGCCTTCTGCAGCTTGAAGGAGCCAACCATGGATTTCAGGCGTGTGAAGGACTATTTCTCCTGGCTCTACTATCAATACCAAATCATCAGCTGCTGTGCTGTCTTGGAGCCCTGGGAGCAATCCATGTTCAATACCATCTTGCTAACCATTTTTGCTATGGTGGTGTATACTGCCTATGTTTTTATCCCAATCCACATCCGCCTGGCTTGGGAATTTTTCTCCAAAATCTGTGGCATTCACAGTACACTTTCGAGTTGATCTTGGTTGCATTCTGTGAATTGGCAGTGCACATGTATATGTTGCTTACAACTCCTTATTTTAGGTGATTACTGTGTCTTCTTTCACTTTCTGATCTAAAAAGCTCTCACTTCTCTATGCACTCTTAGGTCCTGCCTGAAATTTGAGATAGATGCCTCTTTAGGTTCTTTTGTACATGTTACATTGTGCATCAGACCAAGATAATACAATGACCTTACCTCACGTACCATATTTTCTCAACTTAAATCTATGACTTTAGTTGTTGTTTTTTTAAATCAGGAAATTTCATATAAAATTTTTCTGGAAAGTAGGCTTATGAGACCTATCAGAATCGTGTTTAAAATATCTGCTCCCTTGATACCTATTCTATACTAAAGGATATATTTTTAAAAATGTGTTCATAGGCTACTGTCAAAAGTATCAGATCCTTGTTTACAATATAAAGATGTGAATAAATTATATGGGCCCCCTAAAGTATTGGTTTTTTTTTACTCAACTACTGATACCTAAAATCCTCTTACTTCAAGTGCAAAAGAATAGGCTGGAGGCAATTATCTGCTTTCAGACATGGTTCCTGAATCACTTCAAATGCCTCTAAAAGTCTGGCTTTATAACAATTTAAAATCAACAATGTTGATTTTAGATAACCCAGTAGGTATCATAATACAAAATAATTTTTACGTATAAGAAACAAAATATAATCAGAGTAAATTCAGACATTGTGACTGTGATGTTGTCTTGCCTTGCATGATACTGGAGGCGGGGGCGGGGAGTGGGCGGGGGGTCAGGGGGGGAAGAGAAAAGAAATTGCTTTTTTTCTGTGCTTTCAGTGAAGGGGGGAACATGTATTGGGCTACAGGAAGAAAAGCTAATAAATAGGCTGGAAGTAATATTCTACCAGCAGGAACTTGACAGCTCCAGTTAAATACTCCTTTGAAGAGCAAAATCAAGATTTATTAAATTTCCTTTGAAGTGTTCATTTTAAAAACAATTGCTGCCCTGGCTAGTTTGGCTCAGTGGATAGAGCATCAGCCTGGGGACTGAAGGGTCCCCAGGTTCGATTCTGGTCAAGGGCACAGGCCTGGGTTTCGAGCTAGATTCTCAGTAGGGGGTGTGCAGGAGGCAGCTGATCAATGATTCTCTATCATCATTGATGTTTCTATCTCTCTCTCCCTCACCATTCCACTCTGAAATCAATAAAAATATATATATTTTAAAAAAATTAAAAATTAAAAAATAAAAACAATTGCAAATTTTAATTATACTGCTGAATCAGATGTGAATGCCAAAGATCAAGCATTGCAGTTTTTCTTTCCTCTCAATAAGTATCAATATTAGTGATACTGAAGGGTAAAAGTATAAATAGTTTTTGTACAATATCTGCACCCTTGTTTGTGTTATGGAGAAAAAAAATTCCCAAAAAGAGCTAGAGAGAAAGATGTTTGGCATGCCAAATTACTTTGCATGTTTGTTTTAAAAAACACACACAAGCACATGGTTTGAAGATAAACCAGATCTGAACATGTATTTGTTGATTTTTGCAAAATAATATTAGGTTTAATTTTATAAATAAAATATCCACTTCCGATTTGCTTTTTCCTCCTATTGCACTATCTAGATGCTTACATCCGTATTTCTCCCCCAAATTATTATTTCTTACTAATCCATTGTGGCAACTGATCTTAAAACTAACATTTACCAAGGGTCTTCTCCACGGTGGACATGTTTTACATGTTGAGGTAGATGTTACGGTCTCCCAGTTACAGGTAGGAACCTAGAACTTGGAAAAGATACATTTCTTGTTCAAGGTCCTTTAGCTACTAGAGGCAAAGCCAGGAAGCAGATCCAGATCAGGACCACACGAAAGCCCATCGGAGGACAACGTGAGCAAATGAAAGCTGATGGAATGGGAGTCACCACGTGTTAGAAAGCAGAGCCCTGTCAAATGAAAGGAGACAGCTGAGGTCAGAGACACAACAAGCCCAGGTCCCAGCTTCCGCCTTTGCTGCCTCCTCGCGTACTGTGCTCATCATTTCTATGCTGTCCAGGTCCATATGCCTCTTTTGAAAGATTGCTTTCACTTTTAAATATTTAACAGAGGATTCTCAGTTAAAGCATGAACTTGGATGCATTCCCAGTTCACAATGATTCAACACCCTTAGTACGTGGACCCCTGCTAAGTACTCTTGGAATGCAATCACAAAGGTACTGCACTGACCTTAAAATCTTCCTTCTAAAAAGAAGAATTAAAATAAATATGAACCGACACAGCAAGCTTGATAAAGGATATTGCAAACCACAGCCCCAGGATGTCATTTTAAAGGTAAGCATTTCCTCTAGGCAATCAAAATAACAAACACAGGGTACAAAACATATAATCAAATATGATTGGGGGGGGAGGGGGGCGTGACAATCTGCGGAAGGGAAGAGGGCTCTGCCGGCCCTGCCTGCTCTGTCAAACGAGGCAGAAATGCTCTTGTCCTTGACCATAGTTAGCCTGGATTAGAAACACTTTTTACATGCTTTTCCCTGGCTTCTGTTATGTGTATGTTTCAATGGTTATACAACACTTAAAAAAAAAAGGCCAAAGTTTCATAGTTGAAATAGGCTTGCATTTCTCATTCACTAAACTAGGAATCGCAAAATGTTTCTTCATTGGTATTGGCCAAGTCTATAGTTGCTTTTATCTACTTGTGCAACAAAACAAAACACAAAATGTCAAGAAATAAGGCAGTTTTAACATCAAGATAACACTGGTCAGTCTTTAATGAAAAGTCATATATGAAAAAATACCATTTGTCCACATTTTCTACTATTTTCTTCTTTCATCGCTAACTTTCTTCCTCTCACAAGTAGAGCATGTGCCCCTAGAAGGCAGGAAATCTGACCTTATTTCTGAATCTCCAGTGTCTACCCCAGGCCAGGTACGGAGCTTAGCAGATACACACCCCAGGGAACATAACAGTTCCACACGGAAACAAGGAAGCTCACTATGCACTGGGCCAACCTCAAAATGGACAGTTTCTGGCTATTGACCCAAAGAATAACATTCATTGATTCATTTTGCATTCAACAAATGTATTACAAGTCCACCATGTATTAATAGATAGAGAAATAGAGAGATGAAAATAAGTGATGAAGTACAAGTAGAAACTAGGTGGTAGATATTAAGGTATTAATTGTAAAGTTCTCTTTACTGCATGTTTGAAATTTTTTATTTAAAAAATGCTGAAGAGAAAGTCTACCATATGCTATTCATTGAGCTTACCACTAGGAAACAAAGATGAACAAGACAGAAACAGAAAAATCCCTGAATTCGTGAATTAGGGGGAGATGACACAAGAAAAAATATGCAAACAAAAGATTTATGAATTGTATGATCTTATGAAAAAAACAGCAGAGTGCTGGAGAAAAAGCAACAGAGGGCTGAGGATGGGGGAGCACCTGGGGGCTGCATTTGAGTAAAATCCAAACTTCTCTCAAACTTTTAATCCATATGAAATTCAAAATTCAAATGGCTCCTTTTAATTACTGTATTTCTAACAGAGGAGGCGCTTAATCCAGATGTCTGATTGTGGCGGAGGGGGAGACTGCAAAATAGAGGAGAGCCCCTCACGTCCCACCCTCCCAGCCCCTGCCTGGCACAGCCACACAGGGCAGGTGAATTCCCTGGCTGGCACTGTGTGGATCACTGGGACCAGTGATTGAGGACAGCCCGTTGTCACTCAGCTCGGATTCCCACTCAGTAGTGAGATGGAAAAAAGGAAGGAGGAGGAAAGGGAGAGGAAGAGACCAGGGAGGAGAGGGGAGAGGGAAGAAAAGGAAGCATTAGCCTCTAGTTTCTACATTCATACTGGAAGGCCCTCGCTTCCAAGTAAATTGCAACACCTCTCTTCCATCCTAATCCCTCCATGAACTTCCCTGATCTCACATATTTTTTCCCTAACATGAACCATATCTAAATTATATCTTGTTCATATTAATTTTTTAGTTTCTTTTGTTAAATTAATTCACTTTTGCCCCAGGTAAGCAATCTTCTGCATAACCAGGCAACTGATTTTCTCTCCATCCTCCGGTCCCTCTTGCCTTCCCTCCAAGGCCTGGTTGACAAGGATCCCTCTGCCTCTCACCATCCCCAGCCCCTCTCCATCACTGTTTCTCAATAACCTCGTTAGAAAATTGGGGACTGAAGTCTCTCAGCGATTCTTCCCATGAAAAGGGCAACAGTCCGTGACATTCTAGTGACTCAGCATTTCAGCTTTCCGAAGCTTTCCCTGGTGATTGAGAGGACCCTGTCCCTGCCCTGACAGTCTAAGGCCTTTGTAACCCTAACACTATTCATCCCTGCTGTGGGAGAAAGGGAATGCAGTCCATAAAAGCAAGCAAGCAAGCGAGCAAGCAAATACACCAAACTCCAAGCAGCAACCAATCGGTTCCTTGCCTGAGAACTGGGAGAGAAAATCTAGTTCATTCGGTGGGTGGTGGGTTTAGGGGAGAGGCTTGCATTTCAGTAGCCATCCTGCCCACCCTACTGGGAACCCTCCTCTGACTCCCCCACAGGCCCTCAGGCCTTTTAACCTCTTCATGGCCCTCACCTGCCTTCTCCTACAAGCAGAGCAAGTTTACTGTCCTTCTCTGCAACCTCAATTTTCACCAGGAAAAGGGATTGCGGGTGAGGACGGGCAGCTCTGAACAGAATAAAACAAAATAATAATAAAATAAAATAAAAACAGGGAAGTGGTTCATGCCCTGGTCTATCCAATAGGCAAAGTATCCAAGAAAATCAGCTACCTGTCCAATGTGACCCCATCTAGTAGCTTATCTCTCACACCTCATCATGCAAAGGGGACACCATTCCCCAGCCCTGAGTTAACATTTCCCTGAACCAGAGAACGCATCCCGCTCCACGGAAGGAGGCAGAACAAGCAGTCTGTTGCCCACATGCGCACATGCTGTGCCGCTCCCGGGTCAGTTCCCAGTTACGCAGGCGCTGCTTCCGGAGAGCATGGACCTGTGTGTTCCCAGGAATTCCGGTAAAAGCTCACTAAATGCACAGAGATGAATACATTCATGAACTTACTATCCCAGTTTAGGCTGCATGGAGTCCTATTCCAGACATGATTTGTGTCGAGTTGCTCACCTATGAGGAGAGTTTTAAAGTCCGAAGGAGCAGTGAGGATGTTGTTGCTGGTCCTCCCTTGCGTTCTCCTGCCTGTTGCTTCTTCTTTCCTGCTGGGAATTTACGCTCCAGGCAATCCCCACGTGAGCACTGTTAAAAAGGCGGAGGATCAAAATAGGTGTCTTGCTAATTGATATTTGCTCCTCAAGTACCAAACCATTTGTTCTCGTCTGTGGCTCTACATTAGAATCATCTGGGAGTTTTAAAAACCGCCGATGCCTGGCTTCACCCAGAAACATTAAATCGAAATCCCTGGAGCGCCCCTGCCCCAAGTCTGATGGTTTAAAAAGCTCCCCAGGTGACTCTAATATTCAGTGGAAATGGAGAACCTCTTTACCAGGGTTCAGTGAATGCTAATTAAGTCACTAAAATGCAGCCGAGAGCTGGACACTCCACTGACTCTCTCCCACTCACTGGTTCCCTGAACATGTCTATGTTATGGTCAAGGCCCCACTGTTTCTCTACGTACAGTCTTAATTGCAACAGACACGACTTCCCTGCCGTTCCCTGAGTACAAGTACTAAACACCCCCC